TTTCACGACAGAATGCAATATCTGATGATATAAAGAAATTCTACCTGATGATATAAAGAAATGATACTGATACCTGATGATATAAAGAAATTCTAGCAGTATTCCATATCAGTTCCCTATTTATTTCAATATTTAAATTTTATTTCCCATCACTGACTTGCCTTGGCTCTGATCTGCAGAAATGAAGCACGGTACCTGTGGAGGTTCTCATTGTTCACGATGTTGTAACATATAAATTTGGAAGCTAATTTCTATTCTATTTCTATTTCTTCTCCTATTCTCTCATTGCAAATTACAGAATTCATGATTAACGAAAGCTAATTTGCTTTGTAAATACTGTGGAGAAGGTTACAACATTATTTGCAAAAAAGGTTGCAACATATTTACTAATTCCTCGTCACTATCTGCTAAGGTACGAGGTCTCGCTCAGAAATACGGTTGCAACAAATTGCCAATCATATTCAGTTGCTTCGAAACTAATTGAGGTGAACCGTGCAGCTGACGTTCAAGACCTGCACTGAAATCACTCACAAGAGATCATGCTGTAGATATATGGAGGTCCTTTTCAATGTCTGAATATTCAAACAAACTTCACAATCTTGGTACTCTAGCGACACTTTTTTATTTTTTTGATAATTTGTCTAAATTAGACCTTCGAAACGATATTTTCTTAAAATATGTGCAAAGTTAAAAAGCTTTTTTCTCTTCTAAATTACCATGACTTCAAACAAGTTGTAGAATATCTTTTCTTTGAATGAAAATAAAACTAACATATAAGTACAACAGCCTTGATGACGAAAAGAAGAGCTTTTCGAGCAGCAGAAGATTTTGCAATTTCTTCTAGACGAAGATCTGTGCAACCTGCCAATACATTGCATGAAGAATGTATGTCACCAATATTTAAATATTCAGTTCAGTGACCAGAAAAATAAGCGTTTAGGCTCTATTTTCTAATACCGAAAACATAGTTCACTGGTATATTTTCCGAAAATTGCTCACAGCCTTTGCCAAGTCCTGTCGATGAAATGCCTCGCTCATACTTGTACATCCAGTAAACTAAACAAAGTGAATTACTCCAAGAAAAATCTTGATAGATAAGCTTACAAGCTGACGAATTAAGATACTTCAAAATGTATGTATTCAATTCCAAATTATTTTTCACCTATTTTATAATTCAATCACGATGATGGATTTATATCTGAATTCTCTGTAGCTTTGCTAAGCAGTCCAAACTATTCAAAAAATTCAAAAAGCATCGTTTTATCAAGAGTGTATACTATAAAATATTTCAAAATGAAGAATTTGCATCGAGAAAACTTAAACGTTAAAAATATGAAGACGTCTGAGAAAGCTCACACTTTTTTTAATAACTCATATGAAATACAGTCAAAGAAAAATCCGTTACCCTAAAATGTTACATTCACTGAGTTATACTAAAAGATTTGAAAATTGTTAGTATTAAATTTCTAGGATTTTTCAGTCTCGGCGAAACAGTGCGAGATCCAATCATCACCTCCTGAAACTGGAAATTTCTTTTCAGTTAATGTAAAAACATAATCAGACATCAAATCGTTTGTGATTTCTTAGAAATAATTAACAGTTGAAAGTAACGAATAGGAGATGCCAGTTTTTAGATCGTTCTCATATTAAAGTATCAACGTATATCTCAACTTGGCTGCACTTTTTTAATTTTTTTTTTTTGTTCATCAAAATGAATGATTCAAATCAAGTTAGTCGAAAAAAGTAAAGGTAGACAGAAGTTGTCGGAATTATCAGTATCCGATTGTGGACAGTTTTCATCGTTACTTGATAGCAACATCGAAAAAACCATTTCTCACCAATGAAAAAAAAACTGTGACTGGGTTGCACCGACCGCTTCCTCCTCTTATTATAATTTAAAAATTCAGCAAACACTAAGTTCATTTTTATTAATCAGACAGTAAAAATAACCTTCTATACTTTTATGAAATTCATTTTCTGCGAAGTTTTGCTACCGCAATGGTTTTTGGGAGATATCATTGCACGGTTTTTTTTTTTCTTTCCACATATTTGATGAAGAATTGAAAATGAAAATAGATTTTTAACATTTAAGATTGCTTCCTCACGAAGAATTAGAGCGAAAACAAAACTTATAGGACGAATATCGGGATGTTTTTGAAGATATTAGATATTTCCTGAAATTTTCCATAACAGGTATTTCCTGGAATTTTGTGACATGCGTGTATATGCCGTAGTCTGTGCTACGAGTCGTAAAGTACATGTTACGTGTGTGTCTGTAACGTGCGTGTACATGACGTAATTGTGACTTACAATTATGAGGCGTGTATGTGACTGCTATGCGTGACGTGTATGTTACACGCGCATATGTGACGTGCATGTGACGTACCTTCTGTGATATACGTTTTCGTGACGCATATGTAATACACATGCGCGCAGCGTACATGTATTTGACGTACGTGTGGGTGACGCACGTGCCCGCGACGTGTGTGTAACGTACACGTTTATGATTTATGTTGTGCGACGTAGCGTTTGTGACATAGTAAGCGTGAGTGTATTGCTGCATGTACGCAACGTGTGTTATGTGACGTGTGTTTATGTGACGTATGTTTATGTGACTGCGTGTGTGTGTGATGTAAATAACGTGTATGTGACGTTGCTATACGTGAGGTACGTATACATAAAGTGTATGTTAAGTACGCGAGTGCTTGTGGCATACGCGGAACATGCGTATGACGAGTGGGTAAATGACGTGTTTGTAAGTGCATACAACGTAAGCGTTTGACATACGTTTCAATACGTCTTCGTGACATGTGCTGTTGGAAAATTGTTTTTCTGTTGATCGTTTTTCGGCGATACAGATTTATTCAGGGTGTAATATTGTTCTTGCACAATATTACTAGTTAACAACAAGAAAAAGGGTATAAAATATGTATGTATATAACACGATGAATTGATAAGAAAAAGCAAGTAATATGATCAACTAACAAACTCCTTGTCGTTCCCTTGGACAATAATTTGAATGTCGATTAGTTGATAGGTCGTTGAGTTGGAGATATACTATAGGAAATGTATTTAGCGAATAGAAGAGTATCGTAGTTTGTTTTCCAATGGTGGCGGATATGCGAAGATATCGCTGGTTGTGGGTTAGTTGCGGAGGATAAACGATGAGGATGTATTGTCTGCTCGGTTGTAAAAACTGGACTGAACACTCTGTCTCGAGATTTTCTCACATATATATGTAAGGATTAGGGAGCTTTGTAAGCTCCATTGGGGCTATCCTGGAGGTATGGTTACCCTTCGGCACTGTCCACTGTGTTGGTACTGAGACGTTTTGTTTTACGCTGTCCATTGCTAGCTTATATTCTCTTCATTGCTTTAATTTTACTTACAAGATTTCATTACCCCGTTTGTTGGATATTGTGGAAATTTTGTTTAAACCTAGCTTTAATTTCGATAATCTGACAGAAAATTTGCATTATGATTTTCGGAGTTTTTCCGACATGTGCATGGCGCACGTCTATTTGATGTACGTGCACTCGGTATGGGACATGTTTGATACGTACGTGTGATTGGTGAATATGAAGGTGTGTATAACGCACGAATGGGTGATATTTTATGTTGATTTGATTGCAAAATCGGTTGCATACACAGTCCCACATGTGACATATACGTCTGTCACATGAATGTGTATCGAGTACATATACGTCCGTTCACAAACATACAGTCACGCCACGTACACATGCGTCACTTAGATGGATGTAAAGTACACGTACGCCGCGCATACCTGCGTCATATACATGTTGCAAGAACGTGTCACAAACGCGTACGTCACATGCATGTGCGTCAAATACAAGTACTTCACGTGCAGTGTGTCACATACCCTACATCACGTACGCATACGTAACATGCACATATACGTTTAGAAAGAACTTACTGTCCAGTTCAGAAATGGATTATCGAAAACTAACAGCAGATGAAAGTAACGAATACAAAATGCCAGCTGACAAAATCGAAGAAACATATTTCACCAATGAGCTGGAAACCAATGACCGGTTTCTTCCTCACAGAGAATTCGAACAAAAATAAACGTTGTAGGAGGAATATTCGAGTGTTTTTGGATCTGGAATTCCCCATAGTAGATACTTTCTGAAATTTTTCTTGGTAGATATTTCCTGGAATTTTCCATGAAAGACATCTGGAATTTTCACAGTGGATATTTTATGAGATATTTTATACTAGGTATTTCTGAAACTTACCATGATTGATATTTTTTGCAATTGTCCCTGGTAGATATTTTATGGAATTTTCCATAATAGATATTTGCTGGAATTCCTTATTGCAGATATTTTCTTGAATTTTTCATGATGGACACTTTCTGGAATATTTCATAATAGATATTTTTTTGAATTTTCCCTGCTATATTTCCTGAAGTTTTCCACAGTGGATATTTTTTGGAACCTTTCATAAATATTTTCGCGAATTTTCTATAGTAAGTTTTTCCTGGAATTTCCCGTAGTAGATATTCTTGGAAATTTGTGATCACAATGCCACGGCCACAATGAAATTACTGTAATGAAACACCGTAATTAGAATACGCAATTATACGTAATCGTATTGGTATAATCATAATATTGTTACCAAAAGACCGTAATTGCAATACATTATCGTAATTACAACACCGTAATCGCAACTCCAATACTGCAATCCCGTCACCTTTATCATATTATTATAAGTTTTCTTTTCTATTTTTAAGTCTTCTTTCCAATTTTTTGCACGATTACACACAATTGTTTAATGGACTTTTTTGCAGTTTGATTACTCGGGCCAACAGTGATATCAGTAATAAGCATCTATTCCATAGAGACAAATTTACTGGGTGCAAATGGAATGACAACAGTTGCTAGTGAATCAGTTCTAATCGATGCCTTCTTGAATCTTGCCTATGTTTCTCTTTGTTTCTCGACTACTTCAATGCAGTTTGCTGATTTACTACTATGTGCATAACTCAGAGAGTATTCCTTCTGGTATTTTTCATCTGAATAAAGAATATAGTATCTCGGTATCCTTCTGTAACAAAGACCTTATAAATCAATCAGTGAATCCAGAAATGGAAAAAAGCTATCTCTCATCATTCTCATCGTTAGAATAGTAAGAAATGGAGACAAAAGTGTCAATCTCATAATTATCTCTTTTAATGTGAAAAAAAAAATCTTCGGAAAACCAAACTTGCGTAATATTTCCTCAAATAATGAGAGAAAATTGCTCCATCGCTGCATATGAATTGCTCTCTGTGAAGTTAGATTTGACCAGTTTTTATCTGTGCCTGTGAAGATAAAAAGTAAACAAATTCGATATCGGATAGACGTCCAGGACAAGAGTTTCACATCGACCAATATAAATTTGATGAATTGCGTCCGTAGATCTCAGCATGCCTGGTGCAAATTATTTGCTTTTATTTCACTCAAACTATGTTTCATGAGATTCTCTTTTGAACTTAAGACATTTCCTGATTAGACTGTAACTTATTAGAGCGGGATTATTTTTTTTTTAATTCTGATTGGTTTTTCTTTTAATTTAATCATTAAAAAGATTGAAATTTCGCTCCTATTTCTAAACAAGAGTAATTCTTGGTGAAACTTTCACTCTTCACCATGGAAAGTTGATACTTTTTGATTGTTTTGGTCATAGATAACCAAATAGATTAATCTACCCATTAATCTGGAGGTAACAAATTTTGGTAACAGAGTCACGGAGTTTGTAAGCAGCAAGCAATAAAGGTCTCTTTTATGAGAGGGCCAAATGTATGTGCAATTTATTGAAAATAAAATCCACCTGAGCTAACAGTGTCCATTTCATCAAAACAATTATACTTTTTACTACTGGTAAACTTATACCGATTCCCTCATAATTTTTAAAAAGATATGGTTGGAAAGTTCCTGTCGGAAAAACTCCGAAAGTCATAATGCAAATTTTCAGTGTATAAATTGTTTCAAGCTAAATCATTAGTCCAACATTTCCCACCGTCAGCACATTGTGAAGAACCTCTCGCTTATAACTATGCCAATTTATATGGAAATATTGTCACCTTTGATCTTCAATACTCCATATGCAATTGTTAGAAAAACTAAACCAGTAATCCTCTGTTTAACGTTCAAAGATCATACAATGTCTGGAATTTTGTAAGCCAAACCCACTAGTCTACGTTATAAAAGGATCAATTAGCGTGGAGTGGACACTTTCGTATTCCTCATCTACTGCTTGACTTCTCAACGACTCATTTTTCGTTTTTCTACCACTGGTTTATTCGCACTCTGTCAGGTTTGGCACAATTTCCACTTCTCCCCTCCCCCCCCCCCTCCCCCACTTTTTTTATTCAATGGTGAACCAAGGCTCTTAGCAGCGCTCTCATAGCTTATTTTCACTGTCAACATATTTCCTTCATATAATAATCATCGTTCTTGTACTAAACGGGCTTATCATATTCCTATATCATCAGTAATTGCGCATAAACGTCTTAGAAAGACTAAGGCCAACCAAACATTCCAACTAAACCCTCCTGCCGAAAGTGAACGAGCTACAAAGAATTTGTGCCCTCACGTAAAAAACCAAAAAGAGACTTCGTCCGCGGAAGAAAATCCGAACAGTTCCTATCCTGTTTTCACTTACATCGAAAGTAACAACAGGTAACCATTTAAATGCGCTGTTTAGATCTCATTGCGAGACGTATTGTGTTACATTAATAATAGCTGTATCAAGCCATTTACAGTTAATTCGGATTACGACCTTGTGAATACAAACATTGAGACAATCCTCCCTCCATTAGAAAAGATTAATTGCTGAGTCCTGAAATTAGTTCGAAGAATGATGTAAGTGTCGACCAGTCCAAAGGTTTGGTCAGAAGTTTTTTCTGTGGAAAGTTTCTTTGAAAATTATTCCTTTTCGGATCATGATACGCTTTGCTAATCAATTTCTATTACATTTTTAACTTGCCGTAAGAATTCTGAAATCCAAAATATTTTTGTTTTTCTTTTAATCTGGTCCGTGTAATTTCATAATTCAGTGTTATAATTGCAACTATTCCGCTTATTTTCGCTTTCATATCTTCGAATTGAAGAGTCGAAAAAACCAGTGTTATCGAACATACCTTTTCATAGCGGAATAGTTTAAAGATCTTCTTTAGTGACTTTGCATACTGTTGTAAAATACTACTGGCAAACATATATCACTTCCCTCATAATTTCTTGAAATATATTACTGAAAAGTTCCTAGTCTTTTTCGCTCCCACCTCTCTATTTGTGCTGTTTACATCGTATTGCAAGGCTGTACAGAATTTCAAATTCTGTACCTCTTCGAGTTTTGTAACAAGCAGATGAAAGATTTATGAAAACATAATGACAAAAAGGAAAGCATACATTATGCTAAGGTTTCTTAATTAAAAATTGGTGCCTGGCGACCATATTCTTCTAGCGAATTTTTTCCCCCCTCTAATTTCGAATGGCAAAATAGCACCGAGTATATAAAGCATGCATGTAAGAGAGACAAAATTTATTAATTCCTTCATAATAACTTTTATAACACAGAAAACGAAACCTACCATATGATAAAACAAGGTGGAAACAATCTGCAACATATTCAGATGTAATATTTCAGTTTGGAAAGAAAGTGTTCGGAGTGAGAAAAACGACAAAATTAGAAATTCAACGATAAATTATGAAAAGAATTTTCCATTTCTATTTAAAAAATATTTTTTTTTTTCATTCCAAAGCACGACTGCTAATTGAGTTGTTTTGAAACATCCTTTTTGTACTTGAAAAGTCCTTCCAAAAAAAAAAATGATCGTGAACGAATCGATTTTTGATAACAAAAAATCATTAACCACCCGCAGAAAACTAATTTGCACAATCAGATGCAGATAAAAATGAATTCTGGTAATTTTGTATCATAAATTAACAACAAATTTTGGAAAATAATAATGAGGCAACATATTAAAAATTAAAAGGTCAGAAAAGTACTGAATGACTCTATTTACCGAACATATCGGATCTTAGATACGTGACTTCGTGATGGATTTTTACAGTAAAAACACTGCTGGATGTACAAAATGAAGAAATTTCTGAAAAAATAACAACGACTATTCGTTAAACATGATTGGGTTCTGGTACCCCTTCTTCATCGCTCCAGTGGTCTTCTTGTAATCTTGAAACTTTTTCTAGCTTTTGATCTGGAAGCTGCTCATCCATATCTGGACTCCAAATGTGTATCATACGGTCATTTCCCGAACTGATAATCTGGATGATATGCTCTCGTAATTAACCAAAATTAAAGATTTAACGTACTTTTGTGCTTTGAAAATGGCATCAAGAAATTCTAATTTTTTAAAAAAGAGGCGCCTTTACTAAACTCTAATCTTCTCCAAGTATGAAACAACACAGAGATTTAATGCCTGAACATACCATACTCTTACCTCATTGTACTTTTGGCGATATACACATGCGTTGACTTGTTGAAAATGACCCACAAGAAGGACGCGAAAGTTTTCTTGATCCTTTTTATCCAGAGTTAAAATAAGAACCTCGTTACCCACAGGCGTGCAAGTTCGTAACACTCCATCATCCGAACAGATATCGAAACGAATAGATGGAGCGATTTTAGTAGTATATTCCTGAGGCAACTAGAAAAAAATCAAAGTCGTCGAAAGATGAAAAATTTCTATTTTGGAATGTTCAAAAATTTGCTGTAACGCCACCAGTAGTGAATATGTTAGAAGCTACAGATTTTTTTGGGAAAAGCCTGACAGGTTTCGAATCAAAACCATTTTTTTAAGCGTGTTATATAACGAGATTGAAAAGATTGAAAATCTAAAATGAGATACGTTCTGAGTTCTGAAAAATCAAAAAGTACCCAAACATGGTTTATTATTTCCATCGTATGAGCTCTCCAGACAGTATAAGTATGATTCAGTGACAATGAAACCAGGTACAAACCATCTTTTGAAAACCTCAAACCGCTAATACATTCAGCACCAGAATCTTTACAGTGACAAGAAAATCGACTAGAAGGCGTCACAGTCATTAATTGGCTCCTCGAACTTCTGCAAATTACTTTAAATAGAAGAAATATGTGTGTGTATTAATATGAAAGTGGATCAAACAACATAGAACTGCTAAAAAGCCGTGGCAGTTTAGAGATACCAAAATGAAAAAAGGTTGTGATGCAATTTTGAAAAAAATTTTGACTAACAAGTGTTGATTACTTTTCTTGCTTTTCTTCTTTTTACGTGTTCATATGGGTAGAAGAACACTAAAACGTCTAGAACATACGAAAGTATATTGAATTATGATAATCAAGAAAAAAAAAATTGAAAAAATGTTAGCATTATGGGAATGTAACTGGAAGATTGTAGGTCATGCTAATGTACTATAAATGCATCTCAGTTAGAAGACCGTCCAGAAAAACCGAATAGGAGGAAATTCAAAAAGTATTGTTACTCAAAAACAAATGTCAAGGAAATATTTGTAAATATGTTAAAATGGAAATGGCATCGAACTCAAAATTTCGGAAACATTTTATGAACAATTTGAAATGAAGAGATATAAAGTTTTAAAAATATTCAGCAAAAGCGTCAAGCATCAATCTTATGAAACAACTATCTGAATTCCGAATTTTTCACCTGACGTCCCAAACCACAATGTTCCCACGGACAGAGCCAGTAGTTAAAATGTTTCCGCCCTCTAGAGACCATCTCACCGATGAAACCCGCTCATCTGGCCACCTCAAATTATGGGAAGAGTCACCAACTCTGAAAGAAACAACACTGTCAAAGTTGGATTAATTTTTGAAACGAAGAAATGAAGTATAGCAAAAGCGCCAAAATTATTGTGATGATCAAAATAACAACACTGACTATAATCGAAATTTATGACTGCAGAACAGGAGGGAAACGAAGAAAAATTTTAACTATTAATTAATTATGAAACCATATAATTTAGAAAAAATTGACTGTTTTGCGGCTTTTATATAAATGGTCGCTTCAATAATACTTTAAATTTTGGTTTCGCTTAAACAACCTTTTCGCTTAGTGAAATGAATTACTAATAATATACATCAAACTTACCTGGGATCAATAAGAATGATATTTGAGGTTAAATTTGCCACGGCTATCAGTGGATTTCGTATGAAAGCATTACACCAATGCATTTCCGTTATTTCATTATCAAAGAAATATTCATCTACGACTTGAGTTTTATTAGCGTCCCACAGCTGAAGCAAATTAACAACATATAAGTGTATATGAATTTTGGTTTTAGATTGACGGAGTTGTTGAAACTTGGGAGTTATTTCATATTAAATTTACCAGTCACTGCGCCAAAAGAATTCAATAATCACTGAATATTTGGTTTTCCACAAGAAAATGGATATTGCTTCATGCTCTTTTATTGTTTTGTTACTTCCTTATTAAAGAAAATCAAGACCACCAGTACCAGTTATCCCGCTGATCTTTCAAGCAATTTCAAGCACAGATTAGACTTCTATAATCATGTTCTGTTTGTTTGTGTAACAAGCTTATACGTGCAAAATGAGCCGATACGAATATGTAGAAATAGAAATTCTTCCAAATTAAATCTGCGAAAAAGACTATGAATCAATTTCAAATTTCGAAGTGGACTGAGTATAAACGAGTCACACCTAGGCAATTATAATTCACTAATTAATTTAGCTTAATAAAGAAGACAAAAACCAGCCTTCACTTTTCCAACTTTATCTGAAGATATAAATGTGCTTGTGTCTTGGGGATACCACTGACAGCATGTTATCAAAGATCCATGCAAACTGGAAAGGAAAAAGAATTCCAAATTAGTACTAAGGTACTCTACAAGAAATTAAATCAATGGAAACGAAACTAGGAAACGAAAAAAGGTCATTGAAGTAACTTTCTGAGCTATTTCTATAAAGTGAACGGACCACGCTGCGCGGCAAGGGATAACGGTATGTTCCAACCGACTCCGACTCTCAGCTGAGGGCGGCCTTTCCAAATCCACTATAGATATTTCACCACGAGATGCACCACATAACAAGCTATAAATAACTCCATATTCAAAATTTCTTCTATATTTGTCGCGATAACATGTGCAAGTTCTCGAATGCAGCGTTTGGTTAAAAAAACTAATCCTATTGCATAGCTTAAGACCACTCTGACAATTAAATTTGTTGGGTTATCAAAAAAACTTCATCTGCATGTAATTCGAGAGATCAGTTGAACAATTCACTGGCACTGCTTAAGCAGAAAGCTGAAGATGTCCGCAAAAGATTAGACTTAATTTTTACATCTAATTTAAAGCTTGAATCAAAAAAATGATTGGAAAACCTACTATCGGTTGTCAACCGGATCCATGTCCATGCTATGGACTCCTGATGCTAATGATGAGGTAAATGGTATTTGTTGCCGCCAACTGATCCTAAACATCAATGATATGTTAATTAGATGTCAAAATGTTTGAAGTATGCTCTAAGTTGTGCTCCGAACAACTCAAAAAAAATGAATTTACAGTGCCTTAAAAACATTAAATATCCTAATTACCGCAAGTACTTCATCCTCTTTTCGATTACATGTTGTTGAAGGTTGCATTTAAGTAATCCCGGACGAGCGCTTTTACCCATTATATTGTGCCATAAAAAATAACGCGGGGAAAGACTTGAGCCGGGAATGTTTCCTAAATTATATTCTAAATCACATGAGCATCAAATGTTAAAGATGAGACTCACCCCAAAGTAGCTTCTGCTGAGAATCAATTGAAATTTCAATATTATAACGTTTATTGTTCTGCGAAATGTTAACCATTAGTATAGAAATTCTATTCCTTTCAATATCGTAATGTTTCAACTGTAATATTACACTATTACCAGATCACTAAAGTACTAGTTTTAGGTAAAATTCAAAGTGAACCGTTGTGTCGTATGGAAATTTTGCCATTTTGCGCAATAACACTGTTGTGGGTGTTAAGATCAAATGGAGTTGAAGGTATTCGTGGCAATCGTTTCTGCCGGCGATGCTGAAATCCCGAATCTTGATCGAATATATGTTTTACACATATTTGAAGTTACGGGAAGAAACAATCAAAGAACTCGGTGCAGCAACCTGCAGTTAATTTGGCTTAGCTTTGCTTATGACAGCTAATTCCTCGGTATAGGATAGGAAAGTCCTGAAGAAGGTTGTTTACCTTGCTGGGGATCATACGTGCTTCTTTGTATTTTGTGTGAACTGGTTGTGCGCGTTCGTTATCCTCTCTAATTCATTTCTCCTCATTAACGTTGAAATATTCCATAACACTTAATTTATTTAATACTTACTTCAAAAGTAAATGGAAATTCACGTAAAGAACGAGTGAAATGAACAGAACAAATAACACAATGATCTACGTAAATGACGCTGCAAAGACCCCAACATAAACCCCACTCTTACTTTCCCGTTCATCAATTCCCACATCGTCTCTTCTTTTGTTCTCTCTTCTCTGACTTCACAACCTCACATATTTCTTTTTGTCTGAAACTCTCCTCACTTTATTTTCATATCAGTTCCACTATTTGTGTTGCAATTCTTTTCAGGAACATATTTTCCGGAAGATTTCTTCATCATGTTTCAATGGAGTACAGTGATTTGGGAGTTTACGATGAAAGCATATCTAAATCACTTTCCTGGAACCGTTC